ACTCACTCACTCACTCACTCACTCACTCACTCACTCACTCACTCACTCACCACCTTCATTTTGTAACATCAGCTCTTGTAGGTTAAAGGTCATCAGTGGATTGAAACTTTCAACATCAATATAAAAGTTCAGTATTTTATGTCCACAGAGAAGCAGACAAACAGCATTTATTAAGTATAATCTTTTAAGCGGGTAAAGTCTTTTCTTAAATTGTGCGAACGTCCCGTTCTCGCTCAGCACATCTGGATGCACTCAGTTTATAAACAAACATCTGTAGTCGTTGTCATTTTGACATTGAATAATTTGTTAAAACTTCACAAAATGGATTTCAGAACATCCAAACTAGCTTTTAGATTGGTTTTAACAAAACGTGGCTGAACTCAAGAGAAACTGTAAGAGAAAGTTGGATAAAAGAATATATTTCTGCACTGACACGTCGAGTCAAACAGAAAATGAATTCCTCTCTGTTTTGACGTCCAACAAACGTCACTTTGAGCAGCTCAGCGTTTCTCGTTATAAACGTAACGATGCAAAGCTGTGAATCATTTTCTGTGAAGATAAGGTTCCTCTTGAGGTTTGAGACTTCCTACTGCTGAACTTTCCATCGACAGTCGATTATCTGCAGTCGTTCAGTAGAAGAAGGCTGCAGAGACTTTATCAGGCTTGAGTAAGTATTTCATTTCATTTTATTTTACTCTCAGCTTCAATAATTCAATAGTTGCAATAGGACTGAGCACAAAGGGTAGAAGCTGTTTTATTACATCATAATTAATAAACAAACTTGGAAACGAGGTGAAATTTAGTGTTTTTAAACCTCATCAGAATTAGTTTGCGTCTTATATTGTTTCCTGGTTTCCTCTGTAGTTTAGTATCAACATGATTCTTAATATTAGGACTTTTTTTTACAACGTTTTCTTATATTTTTACTGTTTACTTCCATACAAATGTGACATCTTTGGGATTTCAAGGTTAAACGTAGCTGAGTTTGTTTTGTGTGGGATGCTTTCGATGATTAAGTCAGATTATAGAAATGGCCACAGAAATACTTTTCTTAAGGATGTAGGAAATATAAATGTTAAAACTGCAGTTGTACTAAGAACCAACATGGTAATAACTTCCTATTTCAGCCGCAGAGCCACTTGTAAATTGACAGAAATGCTAGTTTTTTAAATATTATTTTAAACAAAACAAAAGTTAAATGAAGTTTGAGCCACAACTTTACATCAGCATAGGAGTGTGTGAATAAAAATGTTGTTTTACGGCAGGATTTGGCAAATATTTGGTTTGCTCTTTGGTTTTGTTGCAATAACTCATAAAACAGCTGGTCAAGTCAAATTTATTTATAAAGCTAATTTTAAAACAGCAGCTGTTACCAAAGTGCTTAACCATAAAAACCAACGGCAGTAATTTAATGAAAAATAATACCTATTAGAATAGCTGGTCATTAAAAACTCATTCAGAAACCTAGAAATCTCCTTTAATAATTATTTGACCCAAATTATGCTATTTACAAATATTTTATTTACACATTTTATTTGAATTCATAAATGAGATTTCAGTTGTAAAAATAAACCATTAAAATTTGGGATTTGATCTGACGTAGCTGCTTGTCATTTACTGTATCATGTACACGTTCGTCAGTTTGTATTTAAGTATCGCCCTTCGTCGTTATGTAATCATCTGTTTGCTGGTCTGTCTGTTAGCAAAACATTTCAATAAATCCTGAAAATATTTGAATAAAACTCAAAATATTCATTGGATGAACGTCTACAACTCCAACAATTATCAGTCAGGTCATCTCAACAGTTTCTTTTTTTTTTTTTTTTGTGCTGAAACGTTTCACCTTCCATCCAGAAGGCTTCATCAGTCAAGGAAACGCACAACAAAACTGATTCTTCCCCCAACTGCTTACTCCAAAGTGGAACAAACCAGTTTTGTTGGTGCTAAGATGGTGTCTTTGGCACGCCCCCTCCTCCGGTGCCGGCCCTCTCCCTCGTCGACAGTCATGTCAAACTGGTTCAAAACCAACAAAGTCCATGCTCAATAATCCAGGTATACAATCCAACAATTTTCATCAGGTCATCTGGACAGTTTCTTTTTTTTTGTGCTGAAATGTTTCACCTTCCATCCAGATGACCTGACTGAAACTTGTTGGATTGTATACCTGGATTATTGAGCATGGACTTTGAACGTCTACAACTGATTATCTTTTAGAGTCAACCTGATCCAAGATGGCTGTCACAGTTAATCAACCTTAGCAAACGCAAACAAAGCTAACAGTCAATTTTACAAATATTTTAACGTTTATTTAACTTTGGTGTTGTTGCTGAAAGTCATCCCAATCATACGTTGAGCTTTAGATTGTTAAAAAATGACATTCAGTGGTGTTTAGTTTCAAAGAAAGCTAGGTTTGCTAGCTGACAACGTGTTTTTAAACGCAAAAAAAACAGTGTATTAGCTCAGCTTCCATGACTGAACATGTTACTACAGTGTTTTCTTACATAAATGTAGTTACAGGCTTATGTTGTAGCTTTTTTGGTAACAGTAGCTTGCATGGCTATTGATCGCACCCATTTTCAACTTCAAAATCCAACATGGCTGCCCCGTGCCTAAACAATGCTTGTAGCTGTTATAACATATTTAAAACACCTTCTCACAGTATATTTGAATTAAATCAGCTATAGTACTGCTCAACTTCTATTAGAGAACATGATTTTTAGGTAAAAAGCTAAGCAACAGCTATAAGAGCTTGTTAGGCTAGCTAGCTAATATGCTAGCCATAGCTATTAGTATTAGCCAATCTGGTCACTGGATTCACTGGAACTTTGGGTCGGGACGGAGTCACATCTGCGTTTCCCGCCTGCTAGCTTAGCGCTACGTTGCTGCCGGTTTTTATTGATGGAGTTGTGGTGGGTGGAGCAGATTCAGCAGAACGGTACGTCAGTAGTATTTTTGCTAGTGCGTTTGGATTGCGCCCCACGCTACATCAATGCCGACAGTTGTCGACGATGGTGTTCAGTAGGCACGGTTCTGTTGACGGGGCGGGGTGCCCTGTTTGTATAATGGTAGGGGAATCTGAAGCTAGCACATATTGGTATTCAGTCTAATAGTAAATGACGCAAGCGTTTTGTACAGAAGCTTTAAGTGGTCTGAATACTGAAAACTTTTTCATGTTTCTGTTGATGTGTCTTTTTCAGATCTTCACAGCGCAAAGATATTTCACATAAGTTCCAACCAACCTTTTCTCCTTTAAGATGTTCGGCTGCCCTTCTCCCAACAGTTCTATAACTGTCTCAAACCAAACCCACCAACCAGGCAAGCTGAGCTCTCAGAGTATTTTTACCGTCTCCCTTCATGGAATAGTCTCGACCGTTGGCATCATTGAGAACCTTCTCATCCTCGGAGTCGTTGGGTTCCGCGTCCGCCGCTCCATGCTTAGCATCTGGATCCTAAACCTGGCGGCGTCTGACTTCCTGGCCACATGCTTCCTGCCCTTCTTCACCCTCTACTTAGCTCGTGGAGGCACCTGGATGTTGGGCGCTACCTTCTGCCGCATCTACTCCTACATGTTCTTCCTCAACATGTTCGTCAGCGCCTTCCTGCTGGCGGCTATTTCCCTGGACCGTTGCCTGGTTGTGTTGAAACCCGTCTGGGCCCAGAACTACAGAAGCACCGAGCTGGTGGGGAGGATTTGTGTAGTGATTTGGGTCTGTGCTATAATCTGCACCATCCCTTTTTACTTGTTTCGTGACACCATCCCACAACGCTCTGGCAAGATTTACTGTTACTACAACTATGCCAGATTGCTACCGAGTGAGCCCTACAACCTGATAGCGTTATGCAAGCAGCGCAAGGAGGGACTGGTTATCATGAAGTTCCTTTTTGCTTTCCTGATTCCTCTTCTAATCATCATCTTCAGTTACGTGGCTGTCAACAACAAATTGGCATACAGAGGCTGCCGGCGGCCTTTCCGTTTTGTTCGGCTTGTAGTGGCTGTTGTGGTGACCTTTGTCCTCTGCTGGGCTCCGTACCACATCTTCATTATCGTGGAGATGATGGCCCCTAATGGGAGTTTTGAGCAGAAGATCGCAACCAAAGCTCTTCCAATATCAACGACGATCGGCTTCATGAACAGTGTCATCAACCCCATCCTGTATGTCTTCAGCTGTCCCGATCTGTGCCGCAAGATCCGGCATTCTCTCGGAGCAGTGATGGAGAGCGTCCTGGCCGAGGATCTGGCAGAGCTGGCCCGGCGACGTAGCACCGCTCGAAGCTCCATCAGTACCACCGAGTTTGAAATGAGGAAGAAAAATTCCATTTTAGCTTCAGCTCCTTTGAAAGCAGAGACGTCTGAGCAGGACGAAAGTCTCAGCAACTAGACCTTGAACTGAAATACGCCAAAATACTTTAAATTTGACAGGAAGAACTTTTCATGCCCCCAAAGTACAGGTGCTGGTCATAAAATTAGAATATCATGAAAAAGTTGATTTATTTGTGCAGGTGCCAAGTCTTGTTGGAAAATGAAATCTGCATCTCCATAAAGTTGATCAGCAGCAGGAAGCATGAAGTGCTCTAAAACTTCCTGGTAGATGCTGCGTTGACCTTGACCTCAGAAAACAGCGGACCACACCAACAGATGACATGCCCCCCCCCAAACCATCACTGACTGGGGAAACTTGACACTGGACCTCAAGCAACGTGGATTCTGTGCCTCTCCTCTCTTCCTCCAGACTCTGAGACCTTGATTTCCAAAGGAAATGCAAAATGTACTTTCATCAGAGAACATAACTTTGAACCACTCAGCAGCTGTCCAGTCTTTTTAGTCTTTAGCTCAGGCGAGAGGCTTCTGACGTCGTCTCTTGTTCAATTGTGGCTTGACACAAGGAATGTGACAGCTGAAACCTATGTCTTGCATACATCTGTGCGTGGTGGTTCTTGAAGCACTGACTCCAGCTGCAGTCCACCCTTTATGAATCTCCCCCACATTTTGAAATGGGTTTTGTTTCACTATCTTCTCCAGGGTGCAGTTATCTCTATTGCTTGTACACTTTTTTCTACCACATTGTTTCCTTCCCTTCGCCTCTCTATTAATGTGCTTGGACACAGAGCTCTATGAACAGCCAGTCTCTTTAGCAATGACCTTTTGTGTCTTGCCCTCCTTGTGCAAGGTGTCAATGGTCGTCTTTTGGACGACTGTCAAGTCAGCAGTCCTCCCCATGATTGTGTAGCTACAGAACTAGACTGAGACCTAAGACCAAAGGCCTTTGCAGGTGTTTTGAGTTAATTAGCAGATTAGACTGTGGCACCAGGTGTTTTCAATATTGAACCTTTTCACAATATTCTTATTTTCTGAGATACTGAATTTGGGGTTTTCATTATTTGTCAGTTATAATCATCAACATTAAAATAAATAAACATTTGAAATATATCAGTCTGTGCGTAATGAATAATATAATAATATACAAGTTTCACTTTTTGAATGGAATTACTGAAGTAAATTAACTTTTTCATGATATTCCAATTTTATGACCAGCACCTGTATTTTAAAACTGATATTACACATTTTCTATCCATGAGTCGTTTAGCTTCAAATTGGTGATGATGAATTAAGATCAATCTACTGTCGATGAAACTTTTTTCATCATTCCTCTTAAATCGAGTGTTTATCTTAAGAGACAAAAAGTTAACCGCAAAAACAAACAAAAAAAAAAAACAGTTACCGTTAGGTTTTCAATCTGTTTATTCCACACCTGTTTTAAGAAATACATCATCTGTAATTAAAGTCACCAACAGTTAAAATGTTACATGGTATAGATAGTTTTTGGAACGGATTCAAGTTAACAAACTGCAAAGAAGCAAACATCGTGTGTTATTTCTTATTTTTGTTTTCAGTGTTAAGCATATCTTGATGAGTAAAACAGTGTTCAATACTTTTTATTTTGCAAAAGGTGAAAACCACAGGTGTAAAGAGACGCTGCACGCAAACTCTTATCAGAAGCTGAAAGTGCCGATGAAGCAGATTATTTTGCAGTTAGTTGTATTCATGTTTATTACAAGTAAAGCTTTTTAAATAAGACTGTTTCAAACTTTAATAAATGAAAAATACTTCCTGTTGTTTCCCTTTGACAATCTCTTTCCTTCACTTTCTGTGCCTGTTTTAACGGGATTTGAGTCGCAGAATTAACCTGACGTGCACGTTTTCAGAACGTGGTCAAAACAGATGGCACGAACACCGAACACGCAAACTACACCCGAAGGTTGAAGCTAAAATCCAAGACCTTCTTTCTATGAACTGAAAACAGCAACTACCAGAATACGAGCGTGCAAACCTGCAGCGACAGCCGTTTCTGCAAAGACTCACGCAAATTCTGTCTTAAAAAAAAAATAAAAGACAGGAAACAAACACTTGTTTAAAACAGTTGTAAACTTCAAAATAAAGTACAGGGTTTCTGCTCCACACAGTTTATTTTCAACAATGTTGTGAAATGTAGAATATTCATGCAAATATAGAAATAATATACATACATTGTCAAAAGATCAATGTATGGAGGACCAAAAGTGCCAAAATATTTTGTCATTGATTAATTAAAATAGATGTTTCAGAACAATTAACTTTATCATCAAATATACCAAACAGGAAATAGAATAAAAAATAATGTATTAAAACCCCAAATTTAAAACTGGGGCCTCAGAGGTGATTCTGACCCAAGGGCAGCCATTAATTAAACATCATGTTGATTTAAATATATATATTTTTTTATTTCTTAAGATATTTGTAAAATATCTTAATTGAAATTAATTTGTATCCTACATCTTATTATTAAAACCAAGCTGACTATTTAATTCTGATTTTAACACATCTATTCTGTGTATTTAAAAATATGCCTTTTTGAGTTTTAATCAATCAATGGCAACTAATTATTTTGTTAATTTATTGACTTATATGGTAGTAATATTTAAAATTATAACTGATAGGTTATTTATAGGAATGTGGTTCATGATAATCCCAAAATAATTCAGATTTTATTCCATTTGTCAGTGTTTGTTCTTTTAATCCCACACTGATTGTGGTCATTGCTCAAGTAGATTTATATTATGAGAATAAAAAGAGTAGAAATCTTCAAATGAAAAGAAAAAAGAGAAATAAAATTAGAAAGTGACATCTGTAAAAACTAAAAGCACGACTTTCCACAGGGTGGCACCATTGTCCTCACTTCCAAACATGAGTCCAGTTCAAATGGGGACAAAGGTACCATGTCCAGTTTTATTGTCTGTCCTGGTGTCCAGCTCAAATCGGCTGCTCGTGTTTTTATGGTTCTGGCTTCTTCTCAAACAGGGCAGGGACCTCTGGAGCTCCAGTCGAGCGTCGGGACAGAGGAAGATGTAAAACAGGGGGTCCAGTAAGGTGTTGAGGCTGGTCAGACCGTAGCACAGCCGATAGACCAGGAAAATGGACTGCTCAAATCCACATGGCTCATCGGTCCTCAGCAGGGACACAAACCTGTATCCGCCCACCAGGTGGTAGGGTCCAAACACAACGATGAAGTTAAACGTGATCACAACCAGGATTCCTACGATTTTGTTGCGCTCGTGGTCAGACAGAGAAGGAGACCGACGGAGCGTGGCCCCGATGTGGGCTGAGGTGTAGCTGAGGAAGGAAGCAGAGGTTTGGATCAGAAACCGGCCTGATCCTTCAAATGTACCCAGTGACCCCCCACTGGAGGCCTGTCCTCTCCATTTTCTCATTAATATTCCAAGATAAGCTTTCATTTCAGTTTATTTATAAATTAACAAATATCTGACTTCAAAAACTCAGCCTGATCGTTTCAAGTCAAAGAACCATTTAGTTTGATGGTGAAGATTATTTTAGTTAAACCATAAAACTGCAAATTAAAATGGGAAATAAAATGGGAAATATTTCAAGCACGTATTTCAGAAGATACTTAAGGCCCTTTTGTTTCTCTTTTTGTAGCAGGGTTGTCTAAATGTCTCCTTGGAAAACCAAAAGCACGGAGCGCTCCGACAGTTTAGACAAATTTATATTTAGGCTTTTATTTAAACTATACAGCAATTATTCCTTTTCTTAACATGTTTTGGCAGTCTGGTTCTGACATCACAAATAGGTTCCTAATCTTACTAACATGGCAAATTCAACCTGAGGCCAAATAATGTTTAAAAAACTTTCAATATAAAACATTATTAAGATTCAAGATAAAAATCAGGAGGGTTGTGTGTCAGTGTGAGTTCGACCGTGAATATATGTTAGCTTGATTCTGAGTAGCAGCTAGCTTAAAGCTTTTAACTCTGAGTAGGACCTCCTACAGCAAACAGTAAGGGGCGGGGCCAGACCATGCAGTCCCGTACCATATTTGGAAATGGGACTATTGCACTACGAAAATGAAGGGGACTTTCATAATCACTAAATATCTTAAAGAATTGGGGTTGAGAGGAAAGAAGCTTGAAGCTGTGAGAAGTTCTTCCACTGATTTTTTTGAGTAGGATCTCACTGCAGCAAACAGTAAGGACCGGGGACAGACTATGTCAGTCCCATACTTGCTTAGTAGCAGTTAACTCTTTGTTAATTTGACTCTTAGTAGCTGTTAGCTTGTCCAAGTAGTTGTTAGTTTAACTCCAAGTAGCAGTTAGCTTGACTCCAAGTAACTGTTAATTTATCTCTGAGTAGCAGTTAGCTTCTTGCAGTTAGCTTTACTTTGAGTAGCAGTTAGCTTCTTGCAGTTAGCTGTACTTTGAGTAGCAGTTAGCTTCTTGCAGTTAGCTTTACTCTGAGTA